TTATTTTATTATTATCAACATTAACTAATTATATTAATATTATTAAATTATAATGTATGGATAAAAAAATTAAAATAATTAAATCAATTCACCATAATTTTAAACTAAATATAAAAATAAATGAATGTCTGAGTTGACTTCATTATAAGTGCATCATCAAGCAAGATGTCTTAGAAGCTAACTGGACCAGGTTCAGGACTCCAGCTTAGAACCAGATATAAATTGCTGGATCAATTACAAATTTTTTGAAGCTTCAACAAGTCTAGAAAACATATCTAAATAAATATAAATATTTATTAACATCAGTTATTTTGCTAGATGATATGTCATGAATAGAATTGAATGGTTTTTACTTTAGAAAACATTGATTATTTTGATGAATAGCATAAGTCCCAATGTCCCGGTTCAATTTAGCATCCGTCCTCTTGAACTCATGAACTCTTCGATCTTCCGTCCTATGACAAATGAGATTAATGCCGCAGCAGGATTAGGAAGGATAGCAAGTGGATAGGTCGAGAGCACTGATTAGATAGCCACGAAGCTTGATGTAGCCACCCTGTGATCGATGCGCCGAGAGCTTCACTCGCGGTTGAAGCGACCTCATCTGCATCTGCTCTGTATATCTGCACTCACTCTCTAGCTCTTACTCACTCTTATGTATATCCTATAATACACCAGGCCTATCTCTGTCTTCAACCTCCGCATATGCTAAGCGAGTAGGGTCGATGCGTCCCACACCAAGTATGGCACTGCAATCATGTCAGGACATATTGCCCGTCAACGCGAACCTAGTGGCTCGTTCGTTTACGCAAATGATATGCCAAAGTGTAATCTCACAAGATCCTCTGGAGATTAAGCCACACATTTATGTCAACTCAGAATTCATCTTTTTTTCTATCATATTCAGCATCATTTTATGATTATCATTTCCATCAGAATAAACTACATGAGATGATAGGTATTGGTGATTTATTTATGATGAATTGAAAGGTAAAAATATCAAATAACATCATATCAAATCACTCCCACAATCCTAAAGAATACCAGGGATACTTTTAAAGCAGAATGTGAGAAAATGTCTTTTGAAAAAAATCATCATCAGGATACGATTCGGTCACCACAGCATCCGGACATTTGGATACCTTGATAGACCGGTTGCATAATGACTCTTTCCTCTCATCCACCATCCACTTAGGTATCTAATATCATTACACTACAGCGAAGTGAAGGCAAAAAGAACTCTAAAGCAAGAAAGAATATAAGTAGAGGGAACTGGAGGAGTAATGTAAACTGGCCCTTGTGAGATTCGCGAGCTGTCAGCAGTCCCACCAACGCGCCTTGACCGCATCTTCCGGGGGCCAATGATACTTTTCTTCTACTATTTTTCCCTCTGTACTTGCTGGAGAATCATCCTCCCCACTTGGCACTGAAACTCTGTACCTTTGGTCTCAACTTGGTCATAATATCACCAAGCTTGTAATCAGTATCGTAATTAGGTGCGTCAGGGCTCGGTGCTCCTCTTCGTGCATCGCTAAACTGCGCACGACAATTAATTTCTGTTGACTAGTTGAACATTGTCTGAAAGTGAATTAACAGTCTCCATGTACCTATTTGTCATCTTCATCATCAATAGTTTTTACTGATAAATCAACTAGTGAAAGACTTTACATATCATCAAGTGTGCTAAAGCTGGCAACATTTTTTATTATCTCCATCTTCTTCTCTCATCCCTCTTGGTCTCACTGACGATCCCTGCTTCATGAATAACCGCCAAAGCTCGCGGCTTCGCGTGATTTCGCGTAGGACTGTTGGCGGTAGACCAGCTGGCTAGCGTTTATTTCGCAACCTTTACTACTTCCACGACGATGCCAATAACGACGTTATCCCGCGCGACGCTCTAATGGTTGCTATAGCGACAATGTAACGTCGACGCCCCTTGGTGATGATCACGTGATGTCGATTCAACCAAAGGCAACACCAGTGCATGGGATGCTGGATACTGATAGAGGGTTAAGGAGGCGTGGTCTTGGAACGTGGGGATGAAATCTGTTCGATGAGCGGGGCGAGAAGTTGCTGAAAGTCACGTGCCGACGCCAAAGTCGCTCCATGCTTCCGCGTCGCGACTATCACCGTCCTGATTCCTGCTCTTGCAAATACTCACCGGCTATTCTTGTTATCAGATCAATCTGTATTGTGTTCTAATCAAAGTTTTATCAGTTGATGATAGTTACACGATCACCGTCAGGACAAATTGACCAGTTAACCAACACTCTAACCCAGATACTCCTAGATTAATTGAGGATTAGAAAATTGTGCTTTTAAAACGTGATTTTACAGTGAACTGTGTTCGATCATCATTATTCTAAATTAATATTTAAACTCTAAACACTTTTGAAACGATTGGAATTTATTGAAAATATTCCAACAAGTAATCATGAATTGTGATGAATTTTTAAGTGGTTAGATATTTATTGTGATATGTCGGAATATTATAATCATTTCGACATTGTGAGATGTAAATGTAGGTCTCAGAGGTGTGATATTTGATAATGTAAGCTGTACAGAGCTACCAAAAAGCCCACCTGTGGTTACACACAATGATGATCATCTTCATGCTGCTTGACTGCAAACACTTTCAAGCCTGAAAAGGCTGTCAAGCAGCAGCCAAAGTCATTCAATAAGCAGTCGTCATTGAAAAGTTTATATAGTTTGTTAGATTGGAATAAATCAGTAGACAGAACAGCTGAATCTCCACAACCGACGGCCGACGGGCCGAAGGGTGGTATCGAGATGGATCTCAGTACTGCGTATCGATACAATCAGAATATGATGGAATATTATACTTGTAAGCCTTCATTGCTTCTATTTAATCCTATCATTTAATACCATTTCTACTCCATTATCAAAAAAAAATTTTTTTACTTTAAAACATTTTGTTCAATGTCATTTATCTAGGTCTAGATGTTGATGGATACCATATGATATGATTTAATTATTCTGATGATCTTGATGACTTTAATGTAATATCCAAGTCATAAGTCATTGAATTTTATTGATATTTCTTTCGTTATATGAATTAATTTCTTTGCTTGAACATCCTACACCTTTTAATTCTACTATTCTCTAGACCCTCTTGCTTCAACTTCCCCCAGTAAACAATCAAGCATATTTATTTCTTTGATAAAGTATCATCATGATTTAATTGCAATCATTTAGTCAATAGCCATAAATTTATTTGTTTAAATAATTTAGTGCTTGAGCATATTAAAACATCATGGTTTTGTTCAATATATTAAAGCTGTTTGATATTTATTTACTATGATGTAGAGAAATATTTATAGTTTGAATTCAATGTATAGTTTTAGAAATAGATTTGGAACTGGAATAATATATGAAATGAAATAATGTAAAGAAAATATCAAATATCTGAAAAGAAAGGAATATAAAATAAGAAAAGGATCTAGATCAAACTTTTTGGCGATCGTTTTCACATTCTTTGCATAAAGTAAGACTTTTATCACTGGTTTGGCAAAATCTTGCCAAAGGTCTTTGACTTTTTTTCAAAAAGAATTCTTCTCAATATTACAATTGTACGGAGAGAGAAAAAGAGAGAGGAGATTTAAAAATACATGAACTTTTTCGTTCAGTGAAGAGAATAACGACTGTTATAGAATTATAAACGACGAAAAGCTGATGAAGATTAGGCCGGAAATAGTTGGTACAGTCCAATGCACAGCCAGGTCACCTTATTCACGATCCAAGTGTATTTCTTTTGATGTAACAATCGATCTCTCTTATTTAAAAAGATTGAAAAAGACTTTCTACCAATGATAGAAGCACATCAGATGTTATTGCAAAGGTCAGAATCATTGGACTTGTGATAGTTTGGTGTCTTTGTTTAGTGGAGGTCTGTTAACGGGTAAAAAGGTCGCAGCAGAGTAGAGGAAGGTGATTGCAATAATAAGGGTCGTAATGCAGCTTCACTACCGGTGTGTGGTGGCATTGCCATTGAGGGGGTGGAAAATCCAAACTGGACCGAAGCTTTGGTCCTCGTATATAGTTGTGGTCAGCAGGCGTGACGGCGTAGGGTATACCGAAGTGCTTGCAATGCTGTTACCATTCTCTCACTCACTCTCTCTCTCTTACTCATTCTCTGATCCTCTTCATGTACATATAGACTACCAGAGAATCGTACAATCCCTGCAGATCCAACTATCCCCTTGACTACCGGCAACGCCACGGGGATACAACGATAAACACGACGAGAATTGATTTGTAGCAAACGGAAGCGACGATCGTTTCTGGTAATGATCACCAGTACCAACTGGATCATCATCATTGTCTTTTCGATCATCACTAAGGTTCTGGAAAAAACATTTATATCATTCTCCAACACCCTAGGAGCTTCTTCCAGTTCACATTTGATTTATTTTTTATTACCAATCGATTTGTGGTTCATGTTTTTCTCTATCTTATCATGAAGTCATGTTGAGAGATATTTTTATTAGCACGATAGCTGATTGATAATAAAGTTGTTCAGTTGGACTATGTTAATAGAAAAGCAGTGAAGACTATTTTTAGGGATGAAAGAAACGTTAGGGTAGGTATAGACTGTATGGAGATAATTCGATTGAGTTGTTGAATACCATAAAAGAACACTAAGAACAGACATAGCAGACCCTATGGCTGTGACTCTGTTGTCCGTCATTGTCACTGAGGGACAAGCACAAATCATCGAATTTAGTACACTAGCATAGACTGGAGGGGACATATGTCCTAGCAGAACACCCTCCATTATGATATTAAGCTAACTTTATCAGGTTAGACAACTTTTAATGTGTTACAATCATCAAGTGATTATCCTTTATGTACTCTAGTCATCTTGGACCCAGTATCATACACAATATTAAGTTAATTATCTTGATGAAATTGATCTTATTGATGAATCAAACTCATTGTCACCAACTTGTTCTTATAATACTATTGATTTATTCTTTCAGGCCATGGTGGAGTAAATCAACTTGGTGGTGTCTTTGTAAACGGAAGACCACTGCCGGATGTAGTGAGGCAGAGGATTGTAGAGCTCGCGCATAGTGGCGTCCGACCGTGTGACATTTCTAGACAGCTCAGGGTATCTCATGGCTGTGTATCCAAGATACTGTCAAGGTGAGTTTTCTATTATTTTATATTCCACTTCCTCAGCTAACCCGTGTATCCATTACAGTAGGAAATATTAAATTTATCCAGCAACATGTAGCTTTAATTTTTTTTCATACCTTTATTATCATAAAAAGCAGACAAAGGAAGATGAAAGAAGCAGTGATGTAAAAGGGTTGACTGAATTAATGAAAATATTATCTTTTTTGTTTATTGTTAATATATATGTGAGTGAAAAAAAAGAATGACGCGGCTTGAAAGATGACAACTGGAGACCGGAAGGAAGGTCTTGGGGATAGCTGAGGCGATGCGATGTGGTTTCCATGTTTTTTCCACCCCTCTTTTCCTCTTTCTTTTTCTTTACTCTTCTCTCAATCGCAGTCACAGTGGCCTCGTGCCATTTTGATGGGACCCCAAGTATGTCATTCATCCTCATCCTGATGTTGTGGTTATTATCGCATCGCTGTTCAGTTATTTTGTCATATAATGAACTGATCTCTGACTTATTCACTGACTGAAAAAAACCTTTTTTTTCGCTTATTCATTCATTTTAATTGAATTATAAAAAATATCTAAACTTAATCTACAGTTGAAGTGGATATTTTGGTGTTGCTTTTTTAAATATTTCCTGAACAATTAAGACACAAGGTAGCACACAAATTTCAACAACCCGTTAGCTGCTATTGTAATTTTAATTGAATCGAAACGTGTTTTGTCGTTGATCACTATTATCGATGGCTATTTTCTCCAACGCGAGATGCAAGCTCTCTGTTCTTTATGTATGACTTTGTTATTGATTTATCGATTAATTTTCATCAGGTTGGATTGAGGGAAGAGAATGATTTAAAAATAGGTACTTGAACCTAAGATAACATCAATCAATACCAGACGTTTTAATGAATAAAAATATCTTGCTTTTTTAGGGAAATTTCAAAAATGGTAAAACACTGAAAAAAAAATCTTTATTGTGAAATCAAATAATCATTTAATCAATTAATTAATTAAATAATTTTTTTTTATTAATAATAACAATATAATAATCATCAGATGAATAATATAGGAAGTTAATATTAATAATAATAAAGTATTAAAATAAAAAGTATAAAATAAATAGAATGAAGGAATTATTGAAATACTTGAATACTTTGGTTTAAGATTCCTTTATCAAATAATCTCATGTCAATGTAAGCCTCTTCTAAAGCTTCAGTTGCTTTAATTAAAGAAAAAAAATTAATTCTTAAAAATTTCCGTTTTACTAAGTGAAAAAATATTACTTGTTCACAGTAAATATTTTTTCTCAGTGTAGTACACATGTCAGTGGTAAGACACGCAACGAGGCGTTAACGTACAGTTTACGCAGTTACACGTCGCTGAGATACGACTAAAGATGTCTACTTTCAGGGCGATTCTGAGAAGAGTTAATGCAGTGCAAGTTTCATAAATAGATTCCAAAACTATCATACTTTTATTCTTCATTATTCATCAATTTTCAGAATACCATTTCAATGGCTCATGTAATCCTCCACATGTATACACAAAAAAGAAGATCAAGACATTCAGCAATGCAACATGAATAACATTTTTTTTGTTTAAACCATTGATTTCCGTCTGGTGAATAAAACTCACCAGATTTGCTGGGCAATTTAAATGGAAATTAATGTCACATTGATTTCACCCTTCCCTACCCCCTAGTGTATCACACGTTAATCTAGAAATAAAACTGCTTTACACCCTTTTTCGAAATACTCTGCTCCAAAAGGCTAGAGTCTAATAGGTAATAATAGTGGTTCCAATGACACCAAGTATAATAATCAATATGATAGATATGTGTCAATAAAAAAGCCATTATTTCATTGTCAAGTATTATCATAATAGTTATTCTGGAGATATGCTGTTGTGGAGATAAGAGTTTATGAAACGACAGTACCTCGTTCGCGGATAATAATCGTCTAGTCACCCGATCATCCTAGGTTTACCACCAAGCAAGCTATTTCCGTTCTCGCTCAATTTCATCCCCGATAGCCGAGTAATTTTATCGATTTTTTTTTCCAACCTCTAGTCGTCCAGGTCAATAAATATAATTGGAATATATTTGGAAGAGTTGGGAAGCAATGTGACTGATAGTGTAGCTGATATGAGAATAGCACGAGAGGGAAAGAGAGCTAATGAACGTTTTAGCATGAAGGCTGACATTCATCAGGGCAAAACGCCGACCCACAACCAAACCATTATTACTGGGTTTGTGTAATTGAATTTAAGCACGAGCGAAGATATTATTTAACTAATTAGACACAGAGGTCTCGTTGACTGGGTGGCCCGACGGGAGATAGGATCAACGAGCGTACGACGGGGGGTCTCTCAGCATGTCTAGACTAAGTCTGGATTAACCTCCAGATTCATTATCAAACTCAGAGCAAAGTATAGCTAATAAGACCACCCCTAACATTCCCTCAAGTATCACCGCGAAATCCATGTGCTTTTCAATTAAATCTGATGATTTTATTGCTTTCAGGTATTACGAGACGGGAAGTTTCAAGGCAGGAGTGATAGGTGGATCCAAACCTAAAGTAGCAACACCTCCAGTTGTTGATGCTATTGCTAATTATAAGAGAGACAATCCAACAATGTTTGCATGGGAGATAAGAGATAGATTGTTGGCTGAAGGTATCTGTTCTCAAGACAACGTGCCATCAGTGTCTTCAATAAATCGGTAAGTCTTACTTTGAAGTTGGGTTATGATAGCACTGATAAACTCTTTGATGTAACATGAAAGATAGACAGCGAGAGAAGAGGAAAACTAATTTGCGTGAGTATCCATTAACGCCCGCAACCACAAATCCAGTTAGTGGATTCCACTTGTAGTGAATTCGATACGCATTATAGTGGATTTCATTATCTCCATGGGGATCAGTAGAAAGTTGGCACGAGGGAGTGAGATAGTAGATTGTAGATAAGCTTTAAGTAGTGACTGATTAAATCTGGAGAACATATGTGAATAGATCAATGAAAAACATGAATCTTTCTATCTTTGTTAGCTAGTACTCTTCATCCCCTCGGGGGACAAGTTGTTCAGTTTGTGTGGTGCTGATACACCGTAATGCTTTCCCAAGAGAGTCTCACACCCTCTGTGCTTAGTGTATACCACTCTCTTCATCCCTACAATGTAAAAACACTTGAATTAATCGGGGGATTCCCGAAGGAACCTGCTAAAGGTCAATGAAATCGGATTGAGAGCTTCCCAACAGTCTAGAATCTTGGAACAGAGCGATAACTAATCACTCTCCTGGTCGAATGTCGAGAAAAAGCATATGTCTACTTCCTTAATTTCTACCATTTGCAATAGGGTGTTAGATAAAATACTCTAGACCCTTGGATTTCAATCTTATCCATCATCATCATCATCAACACCACCAATCTCCTTTATTGGGTGTGAAGAAAATTTGCACTGGATAAATAGTTATTTTGTTTCATCATCACTAACGTTCGATCAAAGGTGGTATTTTATTTTATGTCCTGTTCAAGTGAGTGTATGCAACCGCGTACTTTGCTTCAAGCAATCCTTGATACTCGCGATTGTAGAGAGGGTGGCTTGTTGCTTGAGTAACTCCACCTTCATTCCTTTTCGCCTCCATCGCCATCTCCATCAGCTTTCCTCTCACCCCGAAGCCATACCCCAGATGGTGGGTATTGATCTTAAGGCGAAAGCAGATCGCCTGGAAAAACTTGGCCTCTGGATACTTAGCTATCTTCTTGGATACCTGTCTAACTTTTTCACCATCTTACGACGTGCACATTCAACCAAAAAAAATCTTATTCAAAGAAATATCAAGTTTTACTATCGATTTTTATTCTTCAATGTTATTCCTGTTTCTATTTCTGCACTTGATCAAATAATCATTTTAATTTATCATCAAAAGCAAGAAAATAAATAGTATAAATATTTTTTGCTAGTTAAATGTCTATTACTTGATGTCTTTCTTTGGGTCTCGAATATTTGTCATTGAAGAAAATCATGTTGTGATTTTCAAGTTTTTCATCGAGTTGAAGAGTCTTCTTCTAGGGATCATAGACAGCAAAATAATGATCCAGGTTGATATAAGTTATTGTCTAGCCTGGTTGAGACATGGATAAAAAAGTAATGAAGAAGAGAAGAGTAGAATTGAGATAATGGAGTGGCCGGGCGAAAAATAACAGCTATATATCCCGTGTATGAGAGAAAATTGTTGAAAGAGTAAAGAGAGTTGGTAGGAAAAACAAGTCAAAAGGAAAGATTGGACGTTAACAGTTCCGTGCTTTTTCTCTGTTCAATGCTGTCCACGAACTAACCACAGTACTTTTTCTTTCTTCTACACCACTGCAAGCTTTTCTTCCAATGTATACCCACAGCGTGAAAGCTTTCATTGTTTCCCGAACTCGCTTAGCTAAGTCTGCAAGTGAGTGAGAAGACGTTTTTAAGAGGAAATTTCAAAAATAAATAACATGTCTCAGGATGATTTGAAGGAGGTAAAGGAGAGTAAGTAAAAAGAAGAAAAAAATAAATTGTTAGAGAGCTAAAAGCATGGAGTAGAAGCTAAGGGAATGTATAGAGGAAGTAGGACGAGTCCAAGGAAGCACGGCGGATTTCGGGAGGAAATATTGATAGGCTCGGCTTCGTCTGCGGAGTCACGCTCGAGTAGGCGGCGCTCCGAGGTCTATCTTACACGTTATACGTGGTGGAAAGCAAGAGAAAGAGTCTATATACCCAACCTCGCGTCTCAACTCAGAGCCAGATCGATAAGGAGCTCTAGCTTTGCTCGAGGGGGTTCACGCCGGGTCCAGCCTCCGTTTCCTCTACTCAGCTTACCAAGTCCTGTGCTTTCTCTCGCTTTCATGACCTATGACCTACTGGATAAGCTTCAAGTCAATATAAACCCGTGGTTGCTAGAAAAAAAAAACCTCCTTCAACTTTGAGATCATTTGAATTCCTCATCTCCATCAGTCACCTGTTCTGAAAGCCTAGCATTAAAAAAAACATGAGTCCTATTTACTTAATTCGACTCAATCATCATACATAGATATGTAACAGTTGGCAGAAAATCTGTCGCTTGGAATCCTGCTCACGGGAATTGTATCAATCTGTCATCGGGTGGAGTTGGGAAAAGAGAAAAAGCGCGGGAGCAGAGAATTTCGTAAAGGTTTACTACTATCGGACGGGTCAATCTTTCGAATGCACAATAAGGGTGACTCTCCATTACTTCCATATCATTTCTCACCCTAAGAATCGTCAGGCGACGAAGCCATATGGCTCAGCAGTTGAACGAGAGACGAGTTAAGTTTTCTATATGTTTCTGATAGAAAGAACAACTTAGCCAACAGAAAGCAGAGAGGTCGCTACTTTCATGCTACTTTTAGCTTGATCATATCCTCGAGTTATCTCCCCCGTTCATCTTGCTGGTTATTAAATTACATCCTCATAAATAACTTGCTTTACCCAAGCGATGGATTATATTTGCTATTCCTATCCAATAGTCGGTGATCATTCGTCAGCATGGAATGGGCTGGATGACAATGGTGGCTCCTTCTTCAGGTATATTGATGAGGAAAAAAATATGATAAAAAATGACTCTAGCCAATACTGGAGACAATTTAGAAGGGTTGAAGAGAGGACTGAATGGAAAGGAAGAATAAAAGGATGTAAATGAATTTTGATGAAATGTATGAGAACGTTTGGATGGGTAGACAATAATTGTGATGTATGACTGCACCCATATCACAGAACACACGTCGAGACAATATGGTGTCCCGAGTGTTGGTTAAAGCAGCCATATTTGCCAGTGATCCCTCCTCTCGTATTCGACGGCACCCTCGGGGATGAAGCGGGGGTGGAAATGTTGACGAAGACGACGATGCCACCAATGTCGGTTGGTAGCAACGCGTATCCATAACCATCCTTTGTCTAGATAATACAATTATTACCGCGTTTCATCATACCCCTCTGGCTAAAATTAGCTTAAAATGAAGTTACAATTACTGCCGAGTTCCTCTTCTGCAACCCTCTACCCAGTTATCCTCCATGTTTGTCCTCGACGGTTTTGTGTGTTGGGTTTATACGACAAACCCCTGGGTCTCGAAATACTCTGCCGGGTTGCCGTGGAAACGTCAGAGGACAGACGGAACCGCGATGAAACCGGATGGTCGACTACCCTCGCATTCACTCGCTCTTTCTCTCTTCCTCACTTACACTATGTCGTATAATACTCGTCCCTTTGTCCCTGACGCTGTGAAATTCACGGGACCCAACGGAGAACTCTCAGAAGTATGTTCATCCCTTGGACCAACTTCCCTCACTTGGTATGTTTCTCATTCTCCTCTAGCATCCACTGTAGAGGATGGGAAAATTCACGGCGTATCTTCCTCGGGGGGGTAAAAGTGAGCAAGAGGGATGCTAGTTTGATGTCACCCCGTCGAGTTACGCCAGCCTGTGGATGATATAACGCTATTGGCCGTGGCGGCAAAATGACGGCGTCAGCCACCACAACTCACCCCGGACCACGTCCGATTTTGCTTCACCGCATACACGCGAATAAAATAATGACGTTTGCGAATGCGTTTGTCGTGGACATATCATGAAAAATCGTTAGATACGCATGGTCAGGACCTCATTTCCCTCACTCTCCACTCGATTCTCCATCATATAAATCCTTCGTTATGACTTTTCCACATTGTCATTTAATGTCAGGGAATTTCGAATCGTGTATATAAACTCGTACTGCTCATGTAAAAATCCCAGGTCAACCTAGACACAATACGAATAAACTCTATGAACATAATAATAGTCAAGGGGCCCTACCCACCACTCTATCCATACACTCAGTCCCCAACACTTCGAATAGGGTCTCCAGTTTATATATGAAAGTGATCATACATGTATGGTATATAGATTATAAATCGTGTGTTACATTGTGCTTAGGAGTCGCATCGTGACTGTTGACTCTCCGGCGCATTGTTGGGAGCACATCTTTTGTACTGGACCGTGCACACATCGCAAACAAACATACCATGAGTATCGTACGTTGACGTTATGGACTCGCCAGTCACTTCTATGAGTTAATATAGTTGTGGATATCAAGCAGCTGCTTCCCTTGACAATACACATTCTCTTTAAAACTTAATAATATTCTCATTTAAACTACACTCAACATCTCTATATTTATTTTTCCGTCATTTCTCGCTACATAAATTTCATTCAATTGCCATCAATAATTCATCACACCAACATATTTTTATCTAACAGATTTTTTTATCTAAAAAATCTGATCTAGGTGCGAACCAAAAGGTTCATACGACTAGCTTCCCAGTTAATCCATTAGCCAGTCATACGAGTTGTATGAAAAATTTTTTTAAAAGGGGAGAAGAGATAACTTTGGAAAATAGACAATTTTTTAATTAGTATTTTTCAATCTAAATCCATTAGTTTAGGAGTTAGAAGCAAAAATAAATTTTTGAGCATAACAATCGCTTGGAAAGTAACGAAATATGAAAATACATATCATATTTATTTTGTAAATGATTTCTTTTATTTCAAGCAGCTTTGCTCCCTGCACTCCTAGGAAAATTAAAACTGTATAACTATTTTTTTCTCCTTAGTTTCTCCATTCAGTACAAAAAATGGCTTGACCAATTTTTCTCATAATTACACAATTATGCATTGGATGAAACTGGTTCCATGTCAATATCATCATTTGTTCTCGAGATACACTAGACAAAAATTGATGACAAACATGCACATAGACATACCTACATGTAGATCTTCTTTAAAAAGATAGCATTCGATTCTAGAGACCTTGAAACGTGAAAATATGTCCAAATTTGGAATTCGCAAAATTGGACCCATTACAATAACTATCGAAAAGTAAAAAAAAAAATTTAATTTTATTTGTGATGATTTTAGAGTAAAGAAAGATAAATAAATATATTTTTATACCAAATAATGACTATGTTGAAGTCGAAACAGTAAATCTTGGCTCTCGAAAGGTGGTACCCATTGTCCTCGAAGAAGCTTAGCACACCGCGTTAGAGGATACATTACCATCTTTCATCTCTCTTCCTCATCATGAAGGTGGTGGAATATCACAGTACACCTTTTCCAGCTATTGTGCGGCATGCTGCACAATAGCCAAGAAGCGAGTCCCGTATTGTATATCTACGCTTGTTCCAGTTCAAAGAGGGAAAGAGAGAGGATAGATGGAGAGTGAGAAATCTGGTCCTTGGAGTCGTTCCGCCGCCAAGTTACGCGGACATGCTGAAGCATCTGTCTGTAACTCCTAAATCCTCTTGAATCCTCGACAATCCAATGCTTTCTCTCGCATTATCCCTTTCTACTAGCTCTTCTGGGGCTCTTGAGACTGAATATACAATAGGTGTAATAACTTTAATGTCTGTATTAACACCTCCGACCAAGCGTTTAACCTTTGCCACCGCAAATGGATGAGTGGATAAATCTCCATTAGAAATTATTACTTTTCCTAATTAGATGAAAAATTTTATCAATCATTTGATGGTGAATTTTTTACCATCAGCACTTTGTTGGAGTATTAAAACAGTTGATAATTATTTCTAGAATTTTATTGCTGGTAATAATATTACCAATGATCCACTAATGTGCTTCCGTCGGATATACAGCAAAATTGAGCTACTTGCGCGTGAGCAAACAAATATAGGCAAATGCCCAGACGAAATGCGATAAAGTTAGCGTAGAGGTAATTTGAGTATAAAGTTTTATTCGCAATAATTTAGTTGAGGGGAGAGAGAGAGAGAGATCGACCCCCGGGAAGCTGGAACGTGGGTCATATATTTGATGGGATCCTTGGCATAAAGTTGAGCATAAAAGTAATGCCAACATTAAAGTTTGTGGTAGAGCAAAGCCCTACTGCTAGATCTTTCCTCCTACCACTTTAGAAACACTTCTGTACACTTTTCTATCTTCAACATCACGTCTCTCACTTGACGACACTATTGTTCTACTCAAAACTATGGGAATTTTCTCTACCTATAAAACAAACCTTCGTTTCAACTTGCAGCCCCCAGTTTAATGCTCGTGCGCACGATTCTATTCGCTTGTACGTATTATCCTTCCTCTGGTAGAATTCATGTTTTATCATTGAAGGAGGAAAAAAATATTCCTACATTTCCTGGTAGGTTTTGACAACCAAGAAATTTAGTCATATTCCAATTCTTTCAGTCAGTTATACATTGAAACAAAATGTTTATTTAATAAATAATTCATTTGGTAATTGTATACTTGATGACCTCAGACCCTATTTGTTCATTTAGCGAAAAACAAATATTATAGAAAAAAAAATTAATCATTTATGACATTAAATAAGTTTGCCTTTGCTGTATTTTATTAATAATAGGTTCCTCTTGCTGGAGTAATTTGTCTATCTAAAAATGACTTCTATTCATGATGTAGTTAAGTCGAGAGTAAGTCATTAGGGTATAATCGAGAGCTGTCATGAGAAACATTTCTCTATTTTTTTAAAAAATTTAAAAGTCTTTAGCTAGGATTTATTGTACCTTGGTGAATAGTTAAAATAAATTGTTATTATACTGATATTTAATGTATTTTATGTGTTTGATCAACTCTTGAATACTTATATACACCATCTGGATCATATGATATAGATAAATAACACTTCTGAATATACGCTTGCGCAAATGTTATCTAGCTCAAGTATGATTATTTCCAGTTTGAAGGCTTATGTCACAGGTGCAACCTGAAACTAGTTATCGCCTTGTGTATCAATATCTGTACGACGTTATAATTAATTCCAGAGCGATATTAAATAACATAAATATGTCGTCGACCTTTCAATAAATTCAGAGCTTATGATATTGAAAAGTGAAAATGTGGATATACACATCAAATAAAAATTATAAACATTTTTATAAATGCTAAAATAGTAAAGATCAATTAATTATAAATTTTTCGTTATTTTTCTCGAATAAATCATGATAAATCTTGACTCTTGAAGTAAATATAAAGTTGTTACTGGCCTTTTTAAAGTTTCTATAAGTCCCCTGGAGGCGTGTCTTGATAAGGATCATAGTTAATTGCTGCGAATTGGCGAAGGTGGAAAGAGGGAGAGAGAAAAGCGTAGCTCTCTCGCAACAGGTGTCATCTGATTGATCGTCGTTGCTGTCGACCCCCAGTTCTCGCGATTACCTAGCCCGCAAACACACCCACGACTTTAATGTCTCAACATTACAAGAACCCTGCTTTTCCACCAGGGACTGACCACATGAAAATCACCAAAAAAAAACCCTCAATAAATATTCTCCTAACAAATCAATACTTCACTCTGTCATCAATCAACGAATTCACTGAAAAATTTCATCAGCTCCAAGAGTCATTGAACAAATAATGTCCAGTTGAATGTAATGTTTTAATATTGAACACCACTTGGGAATAAACTAAAATGACTTTAGCAAAAAAGATCTTAGCAGCATTGATTCTAGCTGAGTCATCAACTCGACACTGTGCGGATTAACAATAATCGTGACTATCTTGTGTTAAGCGACCCAAGTAATTTTAATTAATGATGCTTTCATAAAGTTATGATAAAACAGACTATTTATCATCTTATAGACATGGATAATTACCTAGACCTCTTGATTTACAGGATTGTAAGAAATAAAGCGGCTGAAAAGGCGAAGCATGCACACCAGCAACAACAAGCACAACAGCAAGGTCAACAAGGTCAATCAGGTTCAGGTGGCTCGGTCTCGGTGATAGCACATGCACCGGCTACTGCACCCGGCCATCCTGCTGCTTCTACTGCTCCTAATGCCTACAGTATCAGTGGAATTCTTGGTATTCCTGCTCACCATCAAGATCCTAATGGCAATAGCATTAAACGGAAGCGTCTTGACGATGGTAAGTTACTTCAAAAATTCCTTTTAAATCATCCTTCCTATTTTAACTATTTAACATTTATCATTAATATTAAGTTGGCTAGAATATTCTTTCCAACTAGCTTTAAATCTAGCAAAGTAACACGTCGTGTTTGGATCAAAGCAGACTTTAGCATTCATATTGATTTCAAATATTCTTTTTTTATTAATTATTAGACAAAACTTTTTAGCCAACTTAATAAATAAACCAATGTAATACTAAGGGCTAATATTAGTGACACAAATTTATATTTTGCATGAATTATCATTCAAGCATTAGCCAACACGTGCCACCATTCATTCCACTGTCATTGCATGAATAACCGCAGCCCAAAATATTCTCGACACGTGACTCCTCCCGAAGCGATATGACTTTTAATAAATAATACTCGAGGTCAATAATGTAATAACTCGTTATGAAAACAAAAAAAAAAGGAGATAAAAATTATTATGATACCCAACTGATTATTATTTTTATTTAATTACTGTAATACTGAAATAGAGTCTGGAGAATAAATTTTTGGCGCTAATCTCGGATTACAGGTTAGGATATCAATCGACTGATATGTGAACAAAGTTGCATGAGAAGCAAAATGTACATTGGTAATTTGATATAATTCGATTATGAGCGGCGTGTGAGAAGTGGTCGCGCAGTTTCCGAGCTGTCTGGTACGCGGTGAAAGCACTCAATTCTCCCTTCCTATGTGGTCGAGGGTGTAGGCATGCATTAGATTATAAACTTCACAGACCACAGCTTGGTAGAGACTAGTAACGATGCATTAGCTTACCTTTTCCTGTCTCCATTCTCTCTCTAATCTCCCTTCGCTAAAATAATTCCTTTTTTTCCTTCCTTCTTCTTTCGCAATTTATATTGTCATAAAAGTTTACTCTTTGATATTTAAATCGATTAATTATTCCTTTGGTACTCTCCTGAAATTATTGAAAAATTTTCATTAATTAAATACGACAGATTTCTTTCACTCACTCAACGAATGAAGAAATAATCTTTACGCTTTCTAATCTTGGTTTTACAGAATAAAAAGATTTCACTTCGCCAACCTTTTTTTGTTCTTTTTTTTCCAAAGATCCTGTGGTAGCAAAAATTGTCAGTTTGACTTTAATTCGAGAGACAAAAAAAGGTTGTTTTAAATCTCTAAAAGGTCGCAAAAATATTGGGAAATAAAAAAAAAAAAAATAAAAATTGTGGCAATTCGAGGGCTGTTTGTTGTCGTGTTACATCTGCGCTCTTATACACACCCCATGCAGATCTCATCCCCCCAAATGCACGCACACCCTATGTATATACACTTGAGGTATCCAAGGGGATCCAGATTCACCCCAAAGTCCATTATTACCCGTGTATTGTATTGCTTAACATTGACTCAATTGCTTTCGAATAACGGCGGAGATGAAGAGAAAAAGAAATAAGGGAAGTGGACCTTTTTGGCTATCAATCGAATTATTCGATTTACTGCTCTTTTTTTGAAATACGATGACCTTCTTCCACCTCTATAATTCTCACCCCTAGACATGCAAACTCGTTCAAAATCACTCGCCTACACTTCATTGTTCCATGACTTTGCATATTTATTTTTTGTCTTATTTTTATGCTTCTGAGTGTCTCCAAGCATCAGAAAAAAATCATTCTGTGATTGATCTTCATGTCAAACATCAATCATAAAATTTAATTGTCATTCATTTAAAATCATTACACCCCAAGAAAAAAATTTTTGCTCTGCAAACAAATATTTATTTATATTTTAGTTATTATTAATCATTTCAATTTCTTTTATTAATGTATTATAATATTATAATATAATAGTTTAATATTAATAATAATTTCTTTATCCAATAACGTCATGCTTCTTCGGAAGCTTTAGTTGCTTTAATTAAAAAAAAAAAATTAATTCTGGAGGATCTGGGTTCGATTCCCAATCTCACCAAGTTGTTTTCTTTTGAAAAATTAGACCTGTACGAGTTGTGGAAAACTACAAATGAAGGAGAGCTATAATATACCATGTATAATGACTGTCATTGATTGTAAATTAATTTTTAATCAATGCTCAGCTAACAGCAAAACAGTTGATTGACTCTAGATAGTTATCGTTTCACCGCAAAAATGTTTCCCGGCATCGGTGATTATAAAAATAAAAACAATAATAATTCTGTCGAAGGTGAATTGGACTGACGATTAATGCGATCGATTTAATCGTAAAATCGAGTGTAAGGGTTGAGCGCGTAACGAGTCCGACGCGGGATTTTATAGCTCGGGTAAAACAACCCCATAGAGTTGGCCTCAAATGCGAATAGCTAGAGTCCGTCGACCGGCCCGGACAATCACAACTTGACAGGGAGCTTTAACGAGCCCTATATGCTAGCACCCTCTCCTATCTCACCACGTCCCCTTCTCATCCCCCACGATGGTCATTTAATTATTTGGGATACCTCGTACATTCAGACAAACCCTCCTAAAGCTTCTTTCTCACTCGTCTCTTTGATACTCTACAAACCTTCACATACATTCCACGTGTCTGTTTTTGTACTAAACTACTAGAATGGTACAGAGATAATAAAATCGAAATTGTTTCTCTATATCTTCCAATTCCATACACAACTTTGTCAACTTTTCATCCCCCTCCTCGTCAAATATTCAACTCCCATGTGATCCTTTACCATTTCAAGTGATCGTAGATTAAAGTGTCTCGTAAAATTAATTGGGCCATTTAATTGAAATCAACTCTCAATGTTTCAGATGACAATCGTGATCTGAGTGATCATGCTGATGAAGACTTGAAGAGACAACGTAGCAATTACAATGGTGATCAACTATATTCTAATGTAAGTATTTTTAAATGTTATTTTTATTTTTTTTGTAAAAATAAAAGAGTTTATTAGTTTTTATTGATATTTAGTAGTGTTTTAACTAAGTTATATGTACAAAACTAAATGGAAATTGGGTTTCAGCTATGGTCGAGTAAATGGAACATCAAGGACGAGCACAACAAGCTTCTGAACGAGCTCGGTGGTGCTGCTGGTACCGGCAACGGTGGGACGACAGGTAATAATCCAAGTGGCGGGGGTGCAGGAGGTGGTGGAAATACCACTGGTTACTACGAACACGGTGGATTCCCCGGAAATGCTATTGCCACCTCAGCGGAGCTATATGACTCTCTAGGTACCATCAGTACTATGACGCAAGCGCAGACTCCGCACCTTTACACTCCGCCCATAGGGGGAACCATAGGTGAGCAATTTTCCCATTTTTTCCTTCACTTTTTACTTTCCCGCGTTTTCATCTTTTCTTAATTTACCTTTTTTTTCTCTCCACTTCTCAATCTCTTTTCTTTAGATTCTAAAATCTAGACTAGACTACTTTGACTTTGTCAGACTCTTTTGCCAGGATTATTATTGCTTAGTTCTTGCTTTGCATACCCATATCAGTTAAATACACTGGTTTAATAATGCATGAGCCAAAGAGGTGGCGTAAGTTGTCTAGGTGGTTGTGGTTCTTTTTTCCCCCACTTTCTTTTACTTTATCTTCTTCAAGATATACTTTCTATTTTTTTCCATCATTTTTTATTTAAATATTTATGTTTTTTTTATTTTCTACTTCAACTTTTTATTCATTTTATTCCACCATTGATCTATTTTTCTCATTATTTTCAGTTAATGAAAAAAATCATTACGAGATTAATCAAAGAAAAAGGCGATCATTAATTAAATTTAATTGGCCACTGTTAAGGCATTATTTATATAACGATTTTCACTTTAACTAAATTATTATACTTATAGTAGACTTTTTATTACTTTCTCGAAAATTCATCAAGAATCATTTGCTTGATAAATAATCTTTTCTATTCTTCTCAACGTGTAATTAAGCCAGGGCTTTAATAACCTTAAATCACCTTAAATTTTTTTCGTCAAACTGTGCATTTTTTATTCGTTCTCTTTATATAAAAAACATTTATGAATAATTAAAAAGATGGTATACACATTAGAAAACAGGTTCTAATAGCATAAATGCAATAATAATTGTAGAATAAATAATTTTTAGTGAAGTCGGGGTGTCATGGCGGACGTTCTCGTCATGAGCCCTTCCCTAAAAAATACTTTATTATGTAATTATTACTAAACTTACACTATTAATCTTTGTTTTCTGAGGTGTCTACCATTTTTTTGGACACTTCTAAATATTTTTCAAGTAAACAACACAAATAAAAAATGCACAATTTGACGATAAAAATTTGAGGTGGTTTGAGGTTAGTAAATCTTAGCATTATTAATGAATAGTATTTATTTCAATATACAATAGTCATTGGTATATTTTTTTTTGGCAATGCCCATTTACTCAATACCCGTCGCACCAGGTTACCGTTGAGTAAACGTACGGAAGAATCGAGCCGTGTAAGTGGCAGAACATCTCATGAAATTCAAACTGTGTCGCCAAGAAATCGACAAACTTTTTTAACTTTAATCTCAAAAGTAATGATTTTTTTCTTTGTAACAATTTCTATTTACTTTACCCTTCATGCTCTCAATTCTTTAAATCATTCTCACAGCTATTTTTTCTCCATCATTTATCCAACTTTTATTCATTAAAAATCCTATTAATAAAAAAAAATAACGATACAATAAATTAAAACAAAAACCATCGGGGCTTGTTAATATGGCAGGTGGTACTTTGACACCATTGGCGCCATTGACGATGCAAGAACTAAAACTGAGCCAAACATTGGACGGGGCTAACATGTCTCCTTATCACACCACCGGTGAGTTTCGCCACCTCAAATTAATATAAACAAAAAGAGAGCTTGGTTTTTAATTAATCCATGCATTAAAATATTTTATAAACATTAATGAGTTCATTTAATTTCTTCTTTAATCACAATTAAACGCAAACGTTATTATTATGTTGATTATTTTAAATTAATTTTTATTTATAAGTGTGCTAAATAGTGCTTGATGTGAATGTTGTATTGTGCATGTAAAACAGAGAGCAGTGCCGTTGCCGTATCGTATGTGAATGTAGGGACAGGCGGGGGTGAGCATAGTCCTCCAGTGTCGCTTCACAATGAGGGAAATGCCACCCCCACTGGTCCCAATACGACTGGAGGTGATCAAGGATTGACAGTTTTACAGTCTCCTGTCTCTCAAGCCCAAGTAGCATCCACTATTCCACCTTATTCTACTATGCTGCCTAGTTTTGGACATTATGCCACAGGTGCGTTTTGTTTTTTTTATTTATCATTTAGTTTTATTTTGAATACAATGTGCTATTGTGAATGAAAATAGTGTAAGTAAGCTTTGAAGTTATGGATGCATTAGAGAATCATGTGTTAGTGATTAAATGTTGTAATGGTAATGATGATGATAATGATAATGATGATGATGATACTGTTTCCACTAGTATTGCTACTGATGATGATAATTAGAGCTTGAAAATTTACGATGCAATACAATCATTATTTTTTTTTCTTTCTTTCTTTTATTAATAATTTCATGATTAACAGTTAAGAATAATTCTTCATTGAGGATTTAATTTAATAACTGATCTCATGTTTATAAAAAATAACCAAGGTTGTTATAATGTTGATGAATTTTTTTTAATTTATGATTTATTGAAAGTAGAAATTTAATTATGTGATGTTTTATTGATCTAGGTGGTGGAGATTATGCATACAGTGCGGCTTATTCTCAATACTCGAGTGCACCTTACAGCGGATATGGTTATGGAGCAGCGACAAGCGGGTTGCTCAGTAAGTAAACAGTGAGTATGATAGCCGACTAGATCAGGGATAAAAACAAATGGATTAAATTGATTACACAGAAATTGTTGTGATTCAGTAAAGCAGATAAAATCATTTTATTCTAGGGAAAATATTTATTTATTGATCAATTAAGTATGATTCATAATTACTGCACTGAGAGAAATATTTTTACTGTACAAAAGAATGTTTATTTAATTAATAAAAATGATTTGAAATATTTACAATAAAATATTTTATTGAATTTAACGATATTTTGATCTTAAAAAAATGATCTATTCATTGAAACACTAGAATAAATCAATTCTCTTCTATTTAAAGTAATTGAGAACAATAAAAATGTATAATCAACAAAATATACATTTTAATTTTTGAGAATCAAAATTGGCTTATTTAATAAATAAATATCACTTGTTCACGGTGAATTATTTTCTCAGTGCAAATAAAATCATTTTATACTTGAGCAGAAAAAATATTTATTTATTAATAATTCCAGTATGATTCATAATCATTTCTGAGAGAACATTTATTCCATGTAAAATCAGCACAGGCACTAGTAATAATAAGATAAATAAATATCAAAAAAACAAAGGAATATTTTTTATTAACGAAAAATAACTTTTTCACCAGATTCAACATATTACTATTGTAATGGGGATACGCTGGCGTCTTCCCACAACTCGCAGCAGGGTGGATGCAACGGAGGTCCGGATAGCAGCGCAGATGTAGCAAGTCGTTCTCCTTTGGCAGCAACAAGAGCCAGCAGTGGAGCAAGTGCTGCATCACCAACTGGAAGCGCATGCACGAAGCCTGATCACACTTCAACCGCAACGGACCTATATTTGGCTTAATTTGCAACTAACTGCAATGTTCGTTCATCAACAATCTTATCTACTTGAAGACTTACAAAAAATGATGAAGAACGAACGCCATATCATGAGAAGAAACCAATTGAAATTAAGTACTGATCTCTTGTTGAGGGGCACGATGATGAAAACGACTTTATCGCTAACATCTAGACATTATATCGTGTCTCGTCACATGCGGACGTTCGTTACCGCAATTCTCTAGCACTCAGTTGTAGGTAGTTTAATTTATAATCCCTCGATTAGCATAATTTTCCACATGACGCTATCGCAATCAGCCTTCGGACGAGTCTTCATTTACTGAACGCATAGACACGCCTCAGGAGAACGTTTATAACATTTTCCACACAAGACATGTAATTCCTCATAATACTTGCGTACTCCTGAGACCGATCGCGTGGGTGTAAAGTTGTGGAATGAGTTGACTGTAAAAAAAATATTGTAAAAAGATAAATTTCCTTTAATCGTATATTTGACATTCTCGTATTTTATTTGACAATTTTGTAAAAGATAATCGCGGTAAAGTTTGATCAAGGCAACTTGCTGGACTTTATTGAGATTTAAAACGACTTATGAATCGAGTATCAAGTTAAATATACAATTTAAGAATATTAAATATAAATATATATATTTTTTGTAGAAAAACCAAAGACCACGCAAAATAAAAAATGATATGAGTTTTCGCGTTCGGCATGAGACAGTCGTTGATAGCGACTTTTAATTGACTTAATAGTTTATAGCTCGTAAATAAATTGTAAATAAGTGTAATTGAACAATCGTATATGTATAGATAAAAATTATAAATAATTATGAGAGAGTATAGTGTGGTAATTATGAAATGGAAAAATAGTTGAATGCAAATAATTTTGAATTAAATTCATATATAAGATTAAAATCATGTAAGACGTGTGAGATCTTAGTTGTGTCAAATGATAGAAAAATTATTGTAATTACAAAGTAAATCAATTCCAGGGTTCTAAGTCAATCAAAAGAAAAGAAAAAAGAATCTTGGCAATTTTTAATCAGAACAAATTATTATTTATTGTTTTTTGTTCAATTTAATTATTTTTAATGAAAAAATTATTTGTAAAATTTTTTTTTTCATTTACATTAGATTCATTAATTTCATATTTGATGACTTTGTATCTGATAGGCAAATCGTATGGGAATGTATAATTTTTCTTCACTCTTTTTTCTACACGTCAGTCAGATTACTAGACATTTTTGGGGACATGTTTGAATGCCTGCGTACATTTATCACTAGTCGATATCTCTCTTTATATTGCACTGCACATATATTTTAATATGTTTTGTTTATTAAATTGAATTTAGAAAATTTCACCAAAATACTTTTAAAATAAATAAATATATATTTCAAAATTAATCAAGAATAGAATTGATCGACCAATGGATGATGATTTGATACAAATATTCATCATTTAAGTTTTTTTATTTTATTTTTTAGTATGTATCTTCGGATACAAATTATTTTATATCTCTTATTATAAGATAAAAAAAATTTGTAGACACTAATTAATTCTAAATGATCTGTAAAATTTAATATATATTATTGTAGTGTTTCGATGATGTGCTGAATGCCGCGGCGTAGAAATAGGTAAGAGCGAAAGAAAAAAAGGAGTATTGTAAAAAAAAAAAATAAGAATGATAGTATGAAAGTATAATTTTTATATAGTTGAGGCTGAAAATGAATTAATTTTTACTTAGTTGAAATGTTTGTTTTTTATTTAATTGATAATAAAAATTGTTTTGGTGAAGGACTGTTACTAGTGACAGAGTCTCAGATATTGTGTGATGGACGATAATTAATTAATAATTAATTTTTAATATACACATTTCTCTCACGCACCGATTAGGTAATTTTATCCAAAGTTCAATACAATTATGTGTACAATTGTATTTGATTACTTTGCATTTTTTTTTTATATTGTTATTTTATTAATAATCATCACAATTCGTATTATTGTCATTACAATATTTAAAGCCTATATTAATTAATTAATTTATTAATTGTAACAATAATCTATGTGTAATAAGTTTTGCCAAAGAACTCTTTACAATAATTGAGCTGCAGTACTTTTATTTTGAATTCATCAAAGAAAGATATATTTACTGAAGAACAATGTAAAATAAAATAATAGAATATGAGATTTTAGGCTGAATGAATCCAATATACATTAATGAAAATTATTAATATTTCACATGGAATAATTATTCTTAATTTTTTGGTTTAAAATATCACATTATGCATTTCTTATCCATAAAATACAAATAAAATGATCTTTTTTATTATATTTAATTTATTTTTTTCCGTGTGATATTCATATTTGATGCGCCGCTCTTGCCGAGTCTCGCTGTTGATGATTACGAAAAATAAACACAACATTGTAAATCCTTTTTAAATAAATATGAGATTTATAAGAATTTATTTATGAATATTTTAAACTTTATTTTAGAAAAATAGTAAGATCCACTCAATTGAATATTTGTAGATTATGAACATGTCAAGTTTTTATTTAATTAATATAATTTTTTGAAATGAAAGAGCTTGTTTACTGAGAATTTTAAATTGAGAGGAACTTGATCCAAGTACCTATCATATCGTCTTTAAATAAATAAAATAAATTACAAAAATTTTAAATAGATTATTTTTTTATTATTACGATAATAAATTATTAGTTCTAAACAAGCAAGAACAAATAGCAATCATCTTTTACCTGCTAGCTTATCACTTACAATCTTTAAAAAAATAATAAACTCACAAATTAATGTAATTAACTAAATTCCATTCAAAATTTCCTTTCTTAGTAACAGTTCTTTATTATCGATAAATTAATCATCGGTTGATAATACATTGATGTATGATAAAAAAGACAAGTGTAGGCATCTGTATTCTTTGTCGGTAAGTACCTCAAATGATAAATGTTTGAAAGATTATACACTGTCGATAAAAAAGACTTCACATGCTGGAAAATACCCTTTTACGACAATGTAGTGAATTTGAATAATCAATTGCTCGCAACAAATCAAGAAAATATATTTATTTATTTCATTTCATAATTAAGCTTACAAAAAATTATTCATTTCTGAATATAACTTATTATCAATAAGCGTGCAAGAATAGTATGAATTCTTTTATAGTAATTATACTTTTGAAGTGCGTTAATTAGAGTGAGCAATTTTGGAATGTCCGTAAAAATAGATTATTTATTATAAACATAACTTTCAGCACCTCCTCGTCCGAATCCTGAATAGAAACATAAAAACATTGTAAAGTTAATATGAATAATAAAGAATAATAATACATAGGTTAATCCCAGGTAGCATTTTAAATATGGCCCTATTATGAATGTTTAAAGGAACACCTTACCTGATGATGTGATACTTATAAGGGAATAAATTCTGACCTGGAAAAGGAAATAGGATCTAGGACTTCTACCATTTATTTATGTAATGAATACCCGTATAGCACTAATAGGGGTTGTAATAAGGTAATAATTACACCCCTAGTAGGGACAATAAATTCATACTTAGACAAATAAACAATACCAGGGCCATATTTTATTGCTACTCAGAATGTAAATGATGGGAAGAATTAATTAAAACTTTACCTCCAGGTCCAAAGAGTGCTGAATAACAAGGATGATTGCAGTAAGGTTTGCCTTCATGTTCAGAATGACCACCAGGTGTCAGCGTCTTGTTGCATTTCTCACAACGTAAACATGAACTGTGCCAATCTTTACCGAGGGATGTTTTCCGCTCAGCTACAATTAAAACATTTCATTCATAAAATTAAGTGCAATATGATGGGGTAAATAATTAATAAAATCATCTAACTGAAACAACTACTACATTTTAAATGTACGTAAAGTAATTATTGAATCTCGGTGAGCGTCGTTTTATAAAAATTATTTTAATCAAAATAATTAATAATAATTATGATAATAAGGTATTATCAAACAGATCAATTAATGCTGAGTAACGTTGATTGTGAAATTTCCAGAAATAAAGCCATTGTGTTGAGAAATTTGTATGAATAAATAAAAGATGAACACGAGAGTAAGGAAGATAAATATTGCAAAAATTCTTTAGATAATCATATAGATACTATATGTGAAGCAACTTGGTCTTGTCAACAATACTAAATACCATGAATGCACAGGTCCATTAGCAATTTCTTAATTATAAATTTCAATAGAGGGTCCTTAGAGACGTGCTCCGAGAGCAATTATTCATCGTGTGAGGATGAATAAAGAAACAAAACCCAAGAGTCTTTGCATTTATGGATGTTATATGTCCTGGCTTCCTTGTTTACGTCGTGATTATTATTTCAACACTTATTGTTCGTAGGTGTAGCAAATTTTTTTGTTCATATTTACTCCTTGTGGTATTAAAGTAGTATATCCTTTTATAGGTACTTCATCTCCAGTGACAACTCAATATTTAAAATGATTTTTTCTTTCAATAATCATAATTATTAGTAGCTTTTAGCTTATTGAGAAATATTCAATTGAAAATAATTACCATCGATTACACTGCAAATCCAGGAAAATTCAAGTGTTTAGTAATAAAACATTTGAAGTGTTTAATCATAAAACATCCAAGTATTTACAATTTTGAATACCATAAACAAATTATAGCATTTTAGTAAACGACAGATTACGTAATCAAAAATGGATTCTTTGTCGTAATTTAGAGCTTAATTAAATTAATTTGGAGGTGTCATGGCGGAAGTACTTGTTTGCCACTTTTTTGTCAATTTCGGAACAATGTTTACGTGATAAAAATTGTCTAAATAATGAATAATTTGCCAAAAATAATTAGAGGTTACTACAAGTCTAACCTTAAAGAAATAAATTGGGCATTTTCTTTGTAAAATTATCGCTGTAATTGATTGGATAATAATACATGATAGGTTTAGCAACGTATGAAATGATCAACCAAAATGATAAAAGAGCTGAGGGTTTTAAAAAAGGAACTTAGAGGGACGGCTCTAAGGGCCATTAGTTAATTAACTCCTAATTATAAAGCAGCAACAGCAGCAGTAGTAACAAGCGTGAAGAAAAGAGAATGCATACAGGATCGTCGGCATTTCCGCGCATCAGAGAACTGGCAGACTGTACCTTGTACGCATCGTTGCGCTCGGCGTTAAACAATCGGTGGCTACGCGATGCATATACAGAGACTACAGAAATCCTTTCTCTTGTTCATTTTTCTTTCTTTCTCCTTTTTTCTTTCTTTTCGTTTGTACCAACTACTTTCCCATATCTACGTTCTCTCCGTTGAAATATTTCATTCTAGCTTCCATTTTATATTTTCTGCTTTTTTTTTTTATCTTTATTACGATTTTTTTCCTTATTTTTTTTTTTTTTATTTTTCTTTGGGTTTCTCTCGTATAATCTTTCTCATTCGTCTTTCGAACCTTCGACTCTTCTACTCTGCTATTCTTCAACCAAACCTGTTTCATCTCTGTTCTTCTCATTATTACCCACCGTAAGGGTCCGGAACGTCGCCCTCTTTGTTGTTGTCCTCGTGGCCGGATACTTTGTTGTTATGCAGCTGATGTGCATCCCCGCATTTTCACAACATCTTTTATGTTTTTTTCTTCTCTTCAGTGATACCCACCCACCAAATTCATGATTCTGATGCTATTGCAATATAGTTCTTTTATAAATTGTCATAAGAAAACCCCAGAGAGAACAAAACTTACTGTAGCTTCATATTCATTGTATTCAAGCTTTTATCATATTCGTCTAGTTATATATATATATTTTTTCTATGTCTTATTTGCAATGGAATTTTATTCAATACCATAGATACAGAAGCCTCCATGTTTGTATTGATAAAACTATTGCAAACACTATAACAGCAGCGTAAAATTCAGTCTGAATATAAAGCTTTGACTATATTCAATATAGACTTTTTTTTTCTAAAGGCTAAAGGCTATGGAAAAAATTTGAAAAAAAAATTTATAGTCTCTTTGTACACATCATAGAGTTGTCGGTTATTAACTCCCAGGCTATTAAATTTCACAAAGTAAAGAAAAATATATTTTTGCAAACTTAAACCACTTGTTGCCATTTTTGTATGATTGCAAGTTTTTTCTATTCACTTATGAAATAATTGACAATTTTTCTAGTATTATTTGAGTGGTTAAAAAAATTTGAAATGTGTTATTAATATGTATCTAATATAGATAACATTATCTTAGTAACTTAAATAATCATTAACCTAGTATTACTATTTTTAAATGATCATAGACTAGTTTTTTTATCACTAATTATTTTTTTTGAGATTTTATGGATTATTTGATGACAAAAATTCTTTTTATAATTGGATGATCAATAGATTGGTAATGGATTACTAATGATTAAAAAATAGGATATATTGACAAGCACAAGAAAAAAACAAAGCCATTGGAATGACATAATATTTGTCAAGGTGATCATTTTTTTCGAGGTCAAGCAAATGAGATCATTGATACTTTTATTTAATAATAATAAAAAAAAAACATTATTTGATGGCACTTGAACGAATTCTTTGCCATTAAAAATAGTTATAAAAGTCCTATTTAAATATTATTAATGCAAAAAAGTATAGATCATTAATTATTCATGAGATTGTCAATCATGTTGACTTAAAAATGCAACTGATTCCTTTTTCAATTTCATTAAAAACTTCATAAATCAATTTTATTTTTTTTTTTTAGATTTATTACTAAATGTAGTAATTGATAAACTCTAACTGATGAATGTATCCATAATTAAAATGAATGGTGCAAATTTTTCAGTTTAAAATATGTAGAGTGTTGTTGATGATAATTAATAATTAAATTAGCAAATAAATGATAAAAGGGAACAAAAAAATATCTGTCTTACCAAAATAAACAGGTTTATTACACTTGGGACAGTTAGGCATGTTGATCAAACAAGCTCAGGTATTTTATTTACGATTGAAAACAAATTTTATAGAAGAACTTATATTAGAAGTTCCTAGTAGCGTGGTCAAACGCGAACTGGCCATCTGCGCTAAGGTAACTCAATATTATCTACAGTTGATTGAGCGTGTGAACGTGTTGGACTGACTATAGTATATTGTGTAGATGATGTAATTCTTTCTATCTGACGATTTAAACATTTTTTATAATCTCTAAATACTATTCAGCTTATCACAATACATATGTACACATTAATTCTCGTAATTATGCGGACACTTGAAAATATGTCGAGTCAAACGTTGTTATTTCTCTTGAAAGAGAGAAGAAAATAAAATTAAAAAATTTATAGTACTCATAAAGCAATAGGTTCAAAGAATATGTATGGATGAATATGCAGACTAGACATCAATTCTAAACCACGTTTGATTCATAACGGTGGTCTTACTGAGGTAAGCCGGAAGAAAGCCCAGGTCTGCTTCAACAGCAAAACTAAAATCAATAATATTAAAAAAATATTAAATTTATTGCTTTTAAGGTATTTCAATCACTCTGAGCTGTGTCGAAAACAAGACCTAGGGCCCTTTTGGAATAAAATTAATATTTTTTATTCAATATATACACTAGCTTTTTGCATATTGATTAATTTGTCTTCTATTATTCTTGAAGAACACACAAAGATTGAAAAAAGAAGATTAACTCTTTATAGCTTTGTGTGACATTTCTAAAACAAACAATAATAATAATTACCAACAATAGCAGCAATAATTAATTAATTAATTATTAATTTTTATTGATATTAAAAAAAAATTGACCGAGAAATTAATGTCCATTGAAATACTTTAATTTATGATAAAAATTAAAGTTTGATTTTTTTTCGAGGAGACTCAAATGCTGTCGTATTGAACATAATTAATTCAAAATTAATGACATCTGACATCAGTACTTACTTGAGAATAGTAAAAAATTTTTCTTTACTCTATTAAAACTGATACAATTTTTTTTGGCATGAGGAAATCTATTTAAAATTATGCAGAATTACATCGTCTTTTTTGACATTCATTCTCTTTAGTCAGTTCTTTTCTCGTGTTAATGACGTACATCCGGACGCTCTTTATTTCCTTTCAGACTTTTTGCATTCATCTGCTCAATCGTAGTATTCGTGTTAAGATTCCTGGTTTTGTTCTACGACAACGACCAGTTTTCACAAATGCTCGAGAGTTCTTGTCGAGAATCGTCATAATGATGATGGAAAAATGAGAAAGACATGATTACTAAGTGGAACAAGTCTAAATGACAATAATTCAAATATCATCAAACTTTTCCTATTTTATTACAATTAAATTTATTTTTTAATCAATATTATCATTCATTACTTTGATAATGGAAGAGTTTTTAGAATTTTTTTAAATAATTTTGTTCAAAAGATTCCAAATGAGACAAAGGAATAATTTAATTCCATATAAAAAAAATGATCTAAGGCATCAACATATATTTTTGATGATAAGCAACTTTATTAGAATCTTCTTCCTGTAAAAAAATAAAATTATATAAAATTATAAATTTAAAAAAAATTGTATTATCTTTGGTAGATAACTGCGAGTTTACTGTTACCGACTGTGAGTATGACACTTCAAACGCGTTTAATTGGTCTTTGTCAATCACTGACATTATTGATTTTGATTTTTATCAACAATAGTTAGTCATAATTATTTTATTTTAACGTTAAATAGATAGAATTAAATATAATTTTTTATAATAACACTTTGTTTACTCTACCGATAAAATTCTATTGCTTCAAGCATCCGCTAGAGTGCAGTAAAAATAAAATTTCCAATTCAAATACGTTGATTACTATTCTAATCAGAGAAATTTTTATTAACCTAAAAAATACAATTTAATTAAATAATCCACATTCTTCAGATAATTGAATACATGAAAAGATTTTATTTACTAAGGTATTTTATTTATTTATTGATTATGATTAATAATATTTCTTAACAAAAGTAAAATACTGTCAAAGTAATTAACAATTGAATTGCGTGCTCATTCAAAACACTTGAACCTCTTTAATTTAGATCTAAATCACAATTTGTAGTACCTGCAGGGTGAACTTCATCATCCTCTTTTATCAATCTACTTTATGAGTACTTCAGGCTACTATCTAAACAATTACTCTGCTTTATGATGACTAATACTGTAATTCTCCACGATTATTTATGCAATTACTGAGAAAAAATCAATTACCGTCATCAAATTCACATTCTTATCGATTTAATTAACAAGTAAGTAATTTTTTGGTTTTTTTAAAAAGAAAATAATAGTAAGATCGAAAAATAATTGGAATTTTATATAAATTATTCAGCATAGCATAAATATGTTAAAGTAAACAATTTTATTCGAAAAAGAAAAAAAATGTTTGATGATATTCATAAGCATCATATAGGCTTGGGATATTTCGATGTGTCAGAATGATTGATAAATTCCAATTAATTAAAAATGTATCACGAAATTCCTGAAGAAATTCCATAAATTCGTAATATCTTCGATAAGATTAATGCTAGGATTTTTGCATTGTAAATGAACCCTCATAGAGGTCCGGAGTGATGTTAATCAAATACGAAAATTGGGAGCTAGTGAGTGGACGGCGTTAATATCACCTATAATCAAATTACTCCATTTCAGTGGACAGATGGGCTCTCTCTACACTATTCATAGTTAGGTCGATCATTGATTTCACTTTCAAGTCCTAGAGCATTTTTATTTTTAAAAATCTCTCCATAACCTATACAGATTTTAATCACTCCCAACTCATGAAAATTTACCTGGAAAAATAAAAATCAATCATCCTAATGGTTACACATTGGTAGTCGATTTGAATTGAACATCTGTTAATACTCAATATTAAATAAATAAAATGGCATTAATGATTAAAATCAACAAGATCATTGACGTGTGTCGCATCTTGTAGAAGCGATCCAGCGTTAAGAAACATCGTCTCTCCCACTCATAATATAAACGAGTAGTCGGTCGCGTGTCATCGTCCTTTACGTCTCTGTGGCATTCACGTGCATCACAGGGTGGTCGTTGATTGTACGTAGATGTTGGTCGCGCGAGTCTAACGTCAGAGCGCAACTGTAGTGCGTTACCATACAGGCTTGTATTATATTTATATATACCGCGTCTGGCATTCGACCAATGTCGGAAGTCTTCGTGAGTATTCGTATACCGCCTGGACTCTCCAATGCTGCCATGACTGGTCCTCGTTGCTTGCGGGGGGCTGTGGGAGGGAAGCCGGCGAAGGGAAACCGTCCGGACGAATCCGGCACCGTGATTGGTCCACGCGTGGGAGAGCCGCCCGCCCGAGCAATCCAGCCGACAGTCAGCACCGAGCATCCAGGTAGAGCGGTTCGAGTCGAACGTGTCGGCGACTCGGTAAACGCAGCTCGGTTGTATTATTTTTTTTCTTTCAAACAACTAATTAAGAATAGAGAATAAAATACTAGCTTGGAATAATTGAAAATAAGAGAAAAGATAGTTATACTATTTGAGAAAGATATTTGTTAGCGAGTATAGAATAAATAATTATAAAAGACGAGCACGATGGCGCTTTGCCGCGTGCACCAGCGTCACTCTAGTGTCTCATTATTTGACCTTCGAGTGTTGTGTCAATCCGTGCTCGTGTCGTGGCCACCATTGCGCGTATACAAAGTGCGCGCGTGTTCACCCGGCTTTCACTGAGTCTGTGAGATTCGTGGAAACTCACGCCGGGTAAAAATATATACCTTTTAAGGTTATATACATACATATGTATGTGTAGAAAGAATAACAATACTCAAGTGTTTACGGCTCATATGCGTGTATAATATTGTGTTGACACGCACACGTTTCTACAGTATTGTGCTTTGGATATTTTAGTTTGCTCTCTGTACGCACAGTAGAGAAAAAAAAAAAGTGATATCGTTGTGCGTTGGTGTCAAATACATCCATGATAGTGTTTAAATGACTGTGGTGATGCGATCGTTTTTTTTTATTTATCGGAGTGTCTTTCACAATCAGTTGAAGATCAAGTAATTCGTCGAATTAGGGCTTATTTTCTATCGACTCTTTTTTCTAATACTTTCTATGTTTCTTATTATTTATCAATCATTTTTCGTCACTATTGTCTTTTATAACTACTCCAAGTTTTATCATTGACTACTCTATGATTTTTCTACGGCTATTGTCAAGCAGAGTAAGAGTGTTTTTATGGTATAAACGGATGTTTTGATCGGTCAATAAATACAATAGTGAGATCGACAACGAACGTGCATCGAAAAAGAACCAAGAACGTTAAAACAACCTGCCAACAGACGCGCGTTGACGCCCGATCGGTCCCGTCGGACGATCGGCGCGCGAAATAATAATGCGGCACGTGAGCAGCAGCGGCGAAGGCGATGATCTCGGCAGCGAGGACGAGGTCAAGGTTTTCAAGGATGAGGGCAAAGATGAGGAGAGGTCCTCTGAAAACCTCACCGAGGAAAAAAGCTCACTCATCGACCTCACTGAGTCTGAGGTGCGAAATAATTCACTGATAAAATGTTTATTAACTCATCGATCATCAATTTATTTTATCCAATCAACTAAGTTTATCATCTTTTGGATTTAATGTGTTATTAGGACCATCATGTGTGTGTTGTGTTACAGGAAAAGGGATCTCTCAGCACTGGAGCCTATACTTCTTCGGGTAAGACCTCGACGAGGTCTGATCTCTCTTCTGTTTTCGGTAAGTTTTATTGTTTTGATTCTTTGACACTTGTTGTTTAGACAAAATATACGATTCTCTTGGAGTAATTTTGAGAAATATATTGTAGTGAAATGTCAATTATGTTGTTAAAATCATGACCGGTGAGTTTATTCTCTATAAAAGATTTAAAAAATCTGTAAATAAAGAGCCTGAGTATATTTAGCATGCTCAAACTAATTGTATTTTATTACGATTAAAGAAACAAAAGAAACGTAAATTCGTGGAAGGATTTATAATAGACATAATCCTATTTCGCGGTACGTCTAAGAAGTAAATTATCATTGCAGAGTCGTTAGTAATGCATACAATGAAATT